TACAGTGCGCCAGCAAGTATCTGTAGTATTGTAAGTGCGCTCAGACTGTATAAAGTTTGAGAACCACTGTAGTAGAGTGTGGGAGTCCTTGCCATTTACCAGTTCCTAGCCACTGGGGTGTTGTATCATGGAGGTCTGTCCTCCTGAGTGTGCACAATACCATTCAGTTGAGAGTAGGTCAGTGGCATTCCGCTGTTGTAGATAGTGTGATGCCCTTACTACTGTGGACCTGATGTATAATTCCAGGTGCCACCAGATATTGGATGTAGCACTCCACCATATATTGCAATTTGCTCTTCCAGCTGAGGCAACCTCCTTTCTATCATTTGCTGGATGTCTGTTTCTGGGGGATCAGGTGTTGGTTGTACCTGGATGAAATGCATGAATTCCCATATAGGTACCATTTTCCTACTGGAAACTGGATGAAAATTTTCCAGTTCTGCCAGAATTGAATAGAGGGAGTTACATGCATCAAGACAGTATGTCACACTCTTATTGGTGGAGGGGTGTTGCATGTGAGATGCATTGGAGGGAAGATAGAAGGCTTGTGGCATGCATTAAAAAATGTTTGCATATAAAAGGCAGTACTAAACAAGAAGAGCTATTCATGTGAGAGGAGGTACGTACCTATTAGAAATACATTTTTCAGTATAAGAAAATTATAGTTTTTGCTGTTTTGAAAGTACATACTTTTTATGGTTTAGGTAATACCATCTGAAGACTCTGCTTTAATGACAGATTTCACCCTAGATGCAAGTGAGGGATGGTGGACCAGCATTGATAGATATCCTTTAACTTATCAATTTTTTTATGTAATATATGGAATGTCAACACATTTTCATATTGAAACAGACATTTCTGTCCTGACTGGGGTAGCAAGGAATGTAACACTACCATGCAGTAAGTTTATGTTAAACATTTTATAGAGAATTTTATTGTTCACATAACTGACTGCAATACTATATTCTGTAGGTAGAAAGACCAGGAATTGTATGCCAGTAGTTTTTATTTGGCATTCTGAACCATAGAGATCATTTTTGGCAATTAAGTAGCATAATATAGATAGTCATATATAAGTCTTTAATTTCATATGATATACTCAACTCACGTTTGATAGACTGATATCTCTCCTAATAAAAACATAAAATATATTCCTAGTAAAACTTGTCTGAGACTAGTTATATTTCAATTCTAGAATATCAAGCTTTTCTCGCAGCAACATACTGCTTTCATACAATCCAGTTTATAGTCATAATTTTAGAAAATAAAATTCATACACCTTTATCAAATTATTCTTTAAGAATTATCTATATAATCTATATCAATTTTTGAAAGCTGCACAAAGATTTCTAGCACTTTATGTGTTCCTGTTAGAAAATCCTTCAAATGAATTGCCTACATTAGTTTTCTTCCAACTGAAAAAATAAAAAATAGCAAGTTGAAAGGATACAGCTTGTGGATGATTATGCAAAAATAATAATAAAACATCTTCCACTTTCTTCCTTGAGAAACAATCATTGGATATGCAAAATATATCAAAAATCAGAAAAAAAAGCTGAAATTGCTAGACTAATCACCCAAGAAGAGTACCATATTTTTTAAAACTAGACATTAGATATTACAGATACAAAAAACATCAAAATATGCTCATTGAAACCAGATACACAGTATTTTCAACTGAGGAACACTATATTTTCTATAACTAATACCTCTAATAGTAAGCAGTGGTGTAGTTGCAAATTTTATAGTGCTGGAGCTCTGCCAAAATTTATGAGGCATCACCATGAGTATAAATATCTCATATTCAGAAACTAAGTCCCATTTTTGAGTCCATTTTAAATACATAAAATATGTGCAGACTAATTATTTTAGACTAATTACAATAGTATCGAATTGAATATGTATATATTATCTAAAGAAAATGCTCTAAATTAAGCAGCAAGGAAAAAAATCAATGAATGTGTGTTATATAATAATTACTAACCTTAAATCAAGTTTTAATAGTGCATATGTTATTCATTTACTACAATTCTAACTGCAGTAGATTATCAACAATTTTGTGTTTTTATAATGTTCTACGCACTTCCTGTCCTACCAATACGAATAATGAAAAAAATATTTTCATTCTATATTTTGTAAATTACAGTCTTTTAAAAATGTGTACATTTTAAACACCCAATAAAATTGTAAAATGTATTTTATTAAGTGTTTACTATCATATTTTTGTAACTTACTAACCACATTATGTATGACAAAAATATTTCATCATTTTAATGCTCTGATACCTTTGTTTTAGCCAGAGAGTTTACATAGTGCCTCATCAGATTCTGAAGGAGAGTGAATGTGTGCTGGGCAGTCTGAGAGTGCTATTTTATCAAACTCAGAGGGTCACAAATATATAACTTATATTTTATACACACTTTTAGTTTTTAAGTGATGGGACTCAGCTATGTTTTCATATGCTGAAGTAGTACTCTGGTAGTGCTACACTTGTGATGGCAAGTACCCATAAGAGTAAAAACATGTTTCTCTGAATATATCTCACAACAGCGAACACCCAGAAACAACTGTATGCTACCAAAGAAGATTATATTTTAGAAACTTTTGTATAAGCCTACCATCAGCCCTATTGGATCAAGATAAATACAGAGAAGAAACTAACCATAAATCTTTGCGCCATTTGATTTACAAATGTCCTACTGATGTAAAAAGTCACCCGCAGTTTACTCCTGTTAGTTAAATGTACAAGGACACATGTGAAATGCATATGAAACATGATTAATGAGAAAACTTTAGTTTTAATTAAAATGAATATATGTTATATGTTTTTGACTTTGAAAATCAGATGTATTAAAATATTTCTTGATGAGGAATGCATTCACAGTAGTTAAATAAGGACAGACAAGAAAAGATGTCTGAAAATCAACCTTTTTGCAACAGGAAAAATTATTGTTATAATAAGTAATTATGCAATTTTAACTTACTTTCATTTCTTTTCAAGCAAAGAAAAGGGACAAACACGAACCAATAGTTAGTGTTCTGGACTATCAATGTGACCAGTAGTTAGTGTTCTGGACTGTCGATCTGACTAGTAGTTAGTGTTCTGGTCTGTGGATCTGACCAGTAGTTAGTGTATTGAACTGTGGATCTGACCAGTAGTTAGTGTTCTGGTCTGTGGATCTGACCAGTAATTAGTGTTATGGATTGTGGATCTGACCAGTAATTAGTGTTCTGGACTGTTGATCCGACCAGTAGTTAGTGTATTGTACTGTGGATCTGACCAGTAGTTAGTGCTGGACTGTCGATGTGACCAGTAGTTAGTGTTCTGGACTGTCGATGTGACCAGTAGTTAGTGTTCTGAACTGTCGATGTGACCAGTAGTTAGTGTCCTGGACTGTGGATTCGACCTGTAGTTAGTGTTCTGGACTGTCGATGTGACCAGTAGTTAGTGTTCTGAACTGTCGATGTGACCAGCAGTTAGTGTCCTGGACTGTGGATTCGACCTGTATTTAGTGTTTTGGACTGTGGATCCAACCAGTAGTTAGTGTTCTGGACTGTGGATCCGACCAGTAGATAGTGTTCTGGACTGTGGATCCGACCAGTAGTTAGTGTATTGGACAGTGAATCTGACCAGTAGTTAGTGTTCTGGATGGTGGATCTGACCAGTAGTTAGTTTATTGGACTTTTGATCTAACCAGTAGTTAATGTATTGAACTGTCGATGTGACCAGTAGTTAGTGTATTGAACTGTCGATGTGACCAGTAGTTAGTGTATTGCACTGTGGATCTGACCAGTAGTTAGTGTTCTGGACTGTTGATGTGACCAGCAATTAGTGTCCTGGACTGTGGAATCGACCTGGAGTTAGTGTTCTGGACTTTGGATCCGACCTGTAGTTAGTGTTCTGGACTGTGGATCCGACCAGTAGTTAGTGTATTGGACTGTGGATCTGACCAGTAGTTAGTGTATTGGACGGTGGATCTGACCAGTAGTTAGTGTTCTGGACAGTAGATCTGACCAGTAATTAGTGTATTGCACTGTGGATCTGACCAGTAGTTAGTGTTTTGGAATGCTGATTTGAATGTCATTTGTATTTCAGTGCTGCAAAAATCGCTTTGGGGTATAGAGAATTATAAGGATCATGGGAAAATTTTACTATTCAGTCAGACAAGAGTAGCACAAAAGTTGGTGTTGTTGATTAGCTGCTTCCCCTCTTAGTTGATAGTTAGCACAGATAGCCCTTTAGTTTTTGTGTGAATATTTGGATATCAAAAATATACAATTAGATGCAAAAATTAAGATACATAAAAAATATCTATCATATATCGTATTTTAAAAAACACAATTGATTTTTTCATATGAATCATTATTTGATGTGAAAAACGAGGAAGCTATACTTTCAATTTTTTGTTTCTATCCTATCTGTTATCTGCACACTGCAAAGTAACATGATAGATGTTAAGCCTTTCAAAAAGGCAATGAATTATTTCATAGGTTATAACTAAGGTAATGATCTTATCATAAAATAGACATCAGAGTTAGTCTGTTTTAGATGTAACTCTTTCATCCTTTACCTTAAATAGGTTTTTCACTTTACTTACCATTGACTGGTATTGCTTTGCTAAAATTGCCTTCTCAAAAAAAGGTAAGCTACTAGCTTCAAAAGAGTTTATGTACGTTCATTCATGTAAAATTGAGATTTCTTGTATTTGCTTCTTGGTTCTATCAGATACAAAAGAAGTGATACTCAAAGTATGTGATGTTAATGACTTGTGTTCCAATGCAACCCAACCAGTGGATGTACAATGCACCAAACTTGAGACATTTCAGGATATTTCCAGCTTTGATAAGCTATTCATGAATGGTAAGTTATTATGATCATTTATAATGTAGTGTTTTATTAAAGTAGGTTGTAAACTAACTGTATATAAGACAGCACAATCAGAGTATCAGTTTTAACTTTAAAATTAAAACATGAACATAAAGGCATAATAGATTTTCAAAAAGGATGCAATTATTTTGAAATTTGAAAAACCATTCTAAATCAAAAATATTGTGACTTCCTGACAAAACAACAGGCTTCTATTTTGTTTCAATTATTCATGTAAAAAATCACCAGTGATTCAGAAAATGTATTTTTCATATTTCTTTAAAATTCAGAAAAGGCTTTGTATAAATAAAAAACTGTATAAAGAAAGTTTAAAGGTGTAGTCTGAGTGTCGGTGAGAAGGAAAACATCAGACTGTAACATCCTTCAGGTGGAAGGATTCCAAGTGACCTATCATTTAACATAATACTTGAAATATTTGAAAATATAGGGTGTGGACCTCAACTAATGGACAGATGCAAGAATATAGTGGTCACTACAACTAAATATTACCAGTTGATTATGTCTATGCAGAGAGACATTGTTTTTCTGTTGTTTCTTCCTTTTTTCTTCCAAACAATTTTCTTTTGACCACCATTCCTTTATTTCTGGACAGATTTACTTTAAACTTTGGTGGATTATACCTTGGTCCAATACATCCAATATATATTTTTGATTTCTGTGTAGTCATATTTACAAGAATCGAGATAACAGTGACACAAATATAAATTTTCGTGTGCCCAACACATTGATCTACAAAAAAAGTTGGATTTGCCCATTTTCAGTCTTTTTAGGGGGTCAGAATTCATAAAAAATACAATTTGGAGATTTTTGGTCAATTGCTCAGCCATACTTTGACTGATTTACTTGGAATCTGGTTGAAAGACACTTTTTTACACGTCCCACACATTAAAAACAAAAGTGATAGACTTTTCCATTTTTTAGTAATTATAGGGTGGTCAGTATGCCACAAAAAGCATAATTTTAGGGTTTTTTAACAGTAACTTCACCATATTTTTGTTAATTTACATGGTATTTGGTATGAATATACTGTTTTACAGGTTGCATATTTACATACAGAAATATGGGTTATGCCCATTCTTAATCTTTTTAAAGGGTCAAAAGGTTAAATAAACCCCAAATTTTAGGGGTTTTGATCAATTAATTAGCCTTATTTTCAGCAATTTACATGAAATTTAGTACAAAGATATTCTTTTGCAGGTCCCAAACAGAGATTTTCTTTAACTATTCATGTGTATATCAACCAACTTATGCGGGATTTGGTAGAAAGACATCTTCTTGCAAATCTTAAAGAGTGATATAGGCAGTTTTCAATTCTTCTATGTTTTTCACACATTTTCTGGTGTCAAAACTTGGGATTACATGACAGAGACATTTAATTTGTCTGCAAATATTGGCTTCATTAATTTAATGTGGTTTATTTGTTTAATACTGAGTAACCACTATAATGTGGTATTATATTACAAACAAAATATATTTATACTATATTTAATATATTATATTGTTACGACAGTGGAAGTCATGTGACGCTGGTAACAAGTCATGAGTTTCTAGAAGGATCATGAAGGCCCGAGTGTTTGCCAGACACCCTCTATTTTAGTATATAAGCCCGGCAAATAAAGCGGAGATACAATTGCAGATAGACAGATATAGATACAGATAATTGAGTCAAGCAAGCGGTAGTGACCATAAGGAAAGTGCTGGAATCGTTGTGAATTATAGCATGTGTTTAAGTTACTGTGGAACAGACTAGAGTTGCCAGGAAAAGTCATGATCCTTCCAGAAACTCCAGCGTGCATGCTTCCAGCATCACGTGACTTCCGCTGTCGTAACATTATTTATAAAAAAAAAAAACTTTCCACTGTCACATTTTATGGCTGTAAGAGTAGGGGTATTAAAATTCAGATTTGTTCTCAAGTTTTATACATAAAGAGAATGCTTTAAGAGCTTATGCCTTTCATTGGTATATCTGTGGACTTACAGTATTAAAAACTGGGTTTTGATACCAATGATTGACAGAGCACAGAAGTCCATTGTGTAGCTTTGTGCTTAATTACAAACAAATATTAAGAGCTTATTTAATTTTAAGACATCACTTTAATTCTTGTCTTGATTTGTAAAGGTATTTCATTTTCTTTTAATACCTTCTGAATTAAAGTATTAAGATCCTAATTGTGTGTTTGTTTTTAAACACAAAATTACACAGTGGTTATCTGAGCTCTGTCCATTGCAAGTATTGAATGGATATTCTTAACTCTTGCTATTGCCTTAGTGAATTACACTGACCACGTCACCCAAAATTACAAGAGTTTCTAACCTATAATTATTAACAACTTCTAACATGTTTTTTGTATCTTCCTAAAATTTTGAAACTTTTACAAGTCTTCTGTAGATAAAAATTCAGAATTTTTAATTAAGTATTTTTACTAAAACTTGGTCTGTGAATATGTGGAGTCAAGAGTGGAAAGTGATTTTTGCTGGTAAAATTAAATGTACTTTTCATCTAAAAATTATCAAATTTCATTTGCAGAATCTCTAAAACTCTATTAAATAAATGTCAAGTGTAGTTTTTTTTTCAGAAAGACTTTATATTTTATCATTTATTTTCTATAAAGTGTTGGTCAATTTGGCCAACCTTATGCATGACCACCATAAAATTTTAAAGGTTGAAAATTAAGAAATACCATTCTATCCTTTATATAAGTACTTCTTCTGAGAGTTTCTAACCTTTACACATCTATTTCCTATGTTTATTGTACTGGTGGTGACTGAATAGAAACGACATGAAACAATAAATCACTGCTCCTGCCATTAGACTGTTTATGTAACACAGTAATACAACATCATTGTGTGGCACAATTACCAGAACTTTCTCACGGGGTTTATCTTAATCTCAGCTCCGAGAACACAGTATGAGAGGATTTATTAGCTTGTTTGCAGTACAGTTGTTGCAAGAAGAACTGTGTAAATTAATACAAATGCAAGAAATGTTTATGATATGGCTCTGTACAAAATCCAGGCCAGTTCAATAAACTTTATAGGTATTTGGATGTTAGTTATCCTTCCAAGGTGGTTGGAATTTAACAGTATGGTTTTACAGTGTATGTAAGTGCTTATGAATGTTTATGTATTTTATTACTATTTACTCATAAATGCATAATTATTAGTTATTTTTTTAAACATAGAACAATAAATTAGAAATATATAGAAAAACAACGTTTTGTACTACTTACAGCATTATGAGATTGATTTGTACATGAGACATACTTGCTAAACCTTACCATAAGTCTCTTTTATTCTCTCAAGTGAAGGAGGAAGAAAAAGATACATTTTAGAAAACCAAAAAAATAATCAAAATCATTATTCTGGTACACATAAAACCAGTGTAATTTACCTGCCTTTCTACCTAAGCTATATATGGGTTTAAAAAATTTCATATTTGTTTACATCAACAACTTAGTCAACAGACTTCATTTCCAGTGAAGTGACAAGTTTTCCCTTCAAGCCACTTACAAACAACTATCATATTTATGTAGTTTAGAATGTGTTCTTTATATTAGTTATAAACATGCACTTAAGAACAGGGGCTGTCTTAGTCATTCTGGAGCCCTGGGCAGAATTCACTAAATGGGGCCTCATAATGATAATAGAACTCAGTAATCAAACTTTAAATGTAAGACATATGATCTGAAATGAAAACAAATTAATTGATACATTAATCATATACATATTGGAAGAAATCATAGTGGAAACACATACTACATTCACAGAAGTAGATTAAAAAACATAGCTTTGGGATCCTCCCATGTGTGGGGCTCTGAGCATTTGCCCAGTTTTCTCACACATAAGAAAAGTAAGCTTGAGTACACAAGAAGTTTAAAAAGAATGAAGTAGTGGGTGTGCTACCCTGATAGGTTTGCAAAATATATTGATATCACAACAAATCAAAAAGATGGGAGGTTCTTATTTTATATTTTAGTTTGTAAATATAAGTGTAATATATATATATATATATATAATATTAAAATTATAAACTATGTTGTGATATCAATTTTATTGACATAGAATGATAATAAAGCTGTACAGATTTGTAGCTGAGAACACAGCTGTTTCACTCAGGAATCCAAAAAAACCCTGTGAAATGTACAAAATGTACACGTATTAACAATACATGTCTATATATTTTACAGGACCTATATATACAGTTAAAGTCATAAGTGAAGCAATTGGCCAAATAATTATAAATAATCAAAGTACTTGCAGTTTCACATACTTACTCTATCACGTGCTTCATAGACATGCAAATTTTCAATAACCATAAAACTTCTTATTGTGTAGGTGTCCCACATTAGTGGTTTCAAAATTGAATAAAGTTAAACACATAACAAATAAACATATACCATTTGTTTTGTTTATAAACTTCATAAGCATAAAAAATTAGCAAGAAACAAATAACAATAAAGCCACGGCACATTCTTTATAATTGCATTATAAACAGTTAAAGATGGTTATAAAAAAAGTAGCCCAGGCTTTGAATTCCACCATAGACTTTATTGTTATCCAAAATCAGACATAGAAAGTAATGCCACATATCTTTTGTTCTTCAAAACTCATGCTTTTATGTATTTAAAGTTGAGTGTCAAAGAATTATTCCTACATCCATTCTCCTATAGACTATATGAACAGATGTGAACAAGTGATCACAAAAGTGTATTTTATCTGGAACCTTGTACAAATTTCAAATTGTAAGAAAGATGAATGTAATGAAACATTCACCTATTGGTGACCAAAATTCCCCAATGTATATTCATAAGGTTTGTAAATATTTAAAGTGTGGTTTAAAAAGCATCCATAGGAAACTATTTCCTTCACTAGGCTTATGAAAAAATATAATTCAAATCATATGTCAAGTGATTAAAACAAATAATAACAGTCTATACTGAATTATTGGAAGATGTTGCAACCGTATTACAGCA